AAGGAAGAAAGAAAGAAAGAAAGAAAAAGAAAGAAAGAAAGAAAGAAAGAAAGAAAGAAAGAAAGAAAGAAAGAAAGAAAGAAAGAAAGAAAGAAAAGAAAGAAAGAAAGAAAGAAAAGAAAAGAAAAGAAAACAGAAAGGGAGGCAAACCACAGGGGACTCTTAACTCTAGGAAACAAACTGAGGGTTGCTGGAGGGGAGGTGGGTGGGGGATGGACATTAAGGAGGGCACTTGATGTGATGAGCCCTGGGTGTCATATGCAATTGATGAGTCACTAAATTCTACCCCTGAAACTAATAATACACTATATGTTAAATAAATTGAATTTAAATAATTTTTTAAAAATAATAAAAAAAATTTAAAGAAGTGAGTTTTAAGCTGAGCTTAATAACTTCAAATCATACTTCCATGAAGGACCAGGCCCAGAATTATACAGAATTCTGAGGAAGAAAAATCAAGGGAGAAAGGAGTAGTCAACAACTGGTAAACCTGACATTGGACAGGGACCCCAGGATGCAGACGGAGTGAGACATTCCAGTTCATTAGTATTTACAGCATTTCATCCATCCACTGATGTGCAAATGTCAAAATTACCGGGGTGTGAAAATCAGAAAAACTTCCTTTCTAACTTACTTATTTCAGCTATGAATACCTCTAAAACCCTGAAGTCCCAGGCAGAAATATAATACCTGGCTCTCCTCTAATTTAAGACCTATAAGCCATCACTGTCGGAATCCTCATTTATATTTAGTGTTTTATCTCGATAATCTCTGAATAATCTCTTTATACTCACTATCATTACCCTAATTTTGGATCTTAAACCTCTGCACCGGCCTCAGAACTGCCCTTCAGAGTAAAGCACTGTGAATCCTGTAAAGGGACAATAACTGAGAACTCTAGAATGTTATTCTAGCTCTGGCTCTGACTTTCCCTCTGGTTATGACCCTGAAGCTCCACACATCTCGAGTCTCTTCTTTTTCTTTTTTTTTTTTTTTAAAGATTTATTTATTTATTTTAGAGAGAGAGCGAGAGAGCAGGGGTAAAGGCAGAGGGAGAGAGAGTCCCAAACAGACTCTGCCCTAAGATGGAACCCAACATGGGGCTTGATCTCATGACCCTGGGATCAGGGCCTGAGCTGAAATCGAGTCAGTCGCTTAACCGACTGGGCCACCCAGAGGCACGTCAAATCTCTCCTAATTCTATTGCCATTACCCTCAAATCAAGCCTTGTCATTTCTTCATCTGACCACTGCTTAACAGCTGCCCCCACAATCCTTCAACGATCCAGCCCCCAGAGAAGGCCCCAAAATGAAAACCCCAACAGGTTCTCTGCTGTTTATAATATAAAATCTACAAAATCTACATTCCTAAAAATATAACTTATGTAACCTTTTGGTCCAGCTTTTGTCTACTTTTCTGGCCTCATCCCCTACCCATGCCCTTATTCGCACCCTGCAGTCCAGCAATACAAAACTTCATGTAGCTACCATGAGATTCCAGGTTCTTTTACCTCCTATCTTCCCTTTTACTTCCTCCGGCTAGAATCCTTTGCCTCAGCTATGACTATACACTTCTAATTAACCATCAAGGTTCAGATTAACTGTACTGTCTGCATTGGGATGGGTTTCCCAGTCTCTCCCCTCTTCATAGGCATGAAACATGTTCTCCAATTCCCTGTGGCTTGTGCAGGTATCTGTAGATTTACAATGCTCAGAGTTTTATTTTGAGGCCCTTAAAGGCAGTGGCTACATTTTATTCCTATCTGTGGTCTCTTTGTATAGCAAGAGTCAGTAAGAATGTTTATTTCCAAAATAAGGAAGCTGAACAAAATGATGACTAAAATTCTCTCTACGAATAATAAAACAGAAAAACCGTTCCTCAAAACAGCAAAAATGATAGGTTTTCCTGTTTCTTTGAACATGAACTATAGTAAATTAAGGGTCCCTTCACTTCTTCCTTTACCCTTTCCTCCTCAAAACAATACCTTGTGATAAAATCCACCATCTGAGATTTAGGGTTAGGGGCCACTCTCAAGTTAAGAAATGCAATTTGTGAGCTTTTTCAAAGCACATTAAAAAAAATAATAAGTCATCGTGCTGGAAGAGACTTTAGATGCGATCTTTCCATTTTTCTAACTATTAAGAGAAGACTGGGAAAGAACTTTTGTTAGATGCAGAAGTTATAAAAAGAACTGAGGGTGTAATTCAGAGCTTTCCAGAAGATTCTGCATCTCCCTGAAAAGCAAGAGGTTCAAGGAAAATAAGAGCAGCAAACACCACCAGGAAAGAGGAAAGGAATCAAATATAACTCATAACGTTCTTTGATAGCCAGTATTTCACTGGACTCCCCCAAACAACCTATAGGCAAAAGGGACAGAGATTATTTTCCACATGCTACAGGGAAGGAATATAGACTCAGAGAGGTGGACCAAATGTCTCAAAGTCATACAGTTAAAAGTGTTAAGAATTCATACCAGAATCCACATGTCCCAAAACTCAGAAAGTGTTCCATCAATGAACAAAAATTTTCAAGTCAAAGAAAACTATGGGATAGCCACTACAGGATTTATAATCTAATAGTGAAAGGCATGAGAGGGACAGACACAGAGTCTTCTTCCCTGCCCTGGTTGCTGACTCCACAGAGAAAACCAGTCCCAGCATGACTCCCTCCCACACCCCAAATCCTCACAGGTCTTTGTAGCGCTTCTGGAGCTGAGCCTGAGCTTTCAGATCTTCCTCCTGAAGCTGCTTAGCCACCTGGAGATCATGTTGGACCAAACGGTTCCGCTGAATGTTCGATGCCAAATGATGCTCAACTGGACAGAAAGATTGAAGAAAGGAATGACAATGTTGTGTTTTTTGGGTTTATGCCTCACAATAACTGAAGAAGAGCTTTTCCATTAAAAAGAGCTTCACATCCACTTCACTGTATGCTCTCAATAATGCTATATAACAGGCAGCAGAGGAATTACTCTTATCTTTCCATTAATAAAAGTGAGGATCAGAAAGGTTAAGTAATTTGCCCTTGGTCACATGGCAAACAGTGGTAGTACCAGGTCTTCCACACATATACTCTAAGGCTAAGGCCAAGGCTCCTTCTGCTCCACCAGTTGACACTCTCTTTAGAAACTACATTTTTCAAGACTTAATTTTTATATTGACACATGAATGATTCTCAAATTACACATTCACAAATATGTACTTTTATATAACATGTATAGCTTAGATTTAGCTTCCATAATTACATACATAAATATTAAGAAAAATCCACAATCTAGATACTGCCAATGCCTGGAAAGATCTGGTTCAGGCCCCTCTTCTAGGGGAAGGAACAGATGCCAGATAGTGTCTCCCTCCTCTAACACTAGGGCAAGAGAAAAGGTTCAAGTCCCTCTTTTCCTCCCACCTACCCAACAGTCTCCTTCTCCCTGGCAGCTGCCATACTTCAAAATACCCAGAACTTCATTCTCCACGCAGGTGACATTTGCCTAGATAAATCCCTCAGGATAGAAGGACAGTGTGGCCTGGTGAATCTGTTCTCTCCTGCCTCACCCTAAGAAACCTGCCTCAAGCTACCACTAAAAAAGAAAACAGGAAGAACATAATGAGGGCCATTACTCACTCTCTTGTTCCTGCAGGCTGTGGGCCAGGGTGTGGTCCTCTAAGACAGCAAAATCTCGGCACACTGCAGCGGATGAAGGAAGAAAAGCAAAGAAGACTCATCGGTGATATTTTAATATGTTAAAAAAAGAATTGTGTTTACTTCAAAAATAAATTCAAATATTTTAGGATGATCAACTTTATAACATGCAATGCAAAACAGTGACTAGTTAGTATTAAGTCTTCATTCACAAAAATCCACATAGTACCTGCTCAGTGCCAAGCACAGGGTGTCATAAAATAACGGTTAGCTCTGGTCCCTGGCCTAACTATATTAACCACAGAATCAGAACCCAGAGGTCCAGAAATTCTAATCCACACCTATTAAGAGAGGGCAAGAACTGCTGCCATAATACAAGAGACAAGAACGTTCTGCATACTGCAGCTGAGAGAAAACTGAGTTCTCGCATGGTCAGAGGAGTTAAGAGAAATCTAGCCCTTGCCTCAGTCATCTGGGGTTGAGGGGATCCTCTCCCAGAGACTGACATCTAGCCTGGTGTCCCTAAGGAAAAACACACCTTTATTAGTCCCTCGGGACTAGGAACAGATCTCTACCTCAAGGATAATCACATTCTTTAATGCATCCACACCCTCAGACATGAGTTAGAACTGGCTCCCCAGGTCTCTCTAAATGTAGAGCTCCCTAAAATGAATCTGTATACCAAAAGAAAATAGGAACCTTAGGGGATACAGAAACCTGCCCCTAATGTTGCCTCGATTTGGAGATCCAGGCAGGAGCACTCATTGGCCTATCTTTTTAGAAGCAAATGAGAAGAGATGGTCTCCAAGGTCCACTCTACACCAAAACCCCTGTTTCTTAACACAAGCACATACATAAAACAATACTTACGAAGGACTCGTATCATGAAATGTGCTTTTTATTTGTTTGGCTGAAGGACATGTAGTTTAGGTGATACCTTCTTACTCTATTCCAAACATGTAACTCACATTAAAAAAGGAAAATTCCTCAAAGCCATAAACTACTAAATAGGTAGGACTCAGAAAACTGTACCATAGGAATACCAGAGGTTATAGATTTCTTTCTGCGGCTCTGGATTTGCCTATGAGGACATTTAACTAAAATGGAATAAAGAAACACATCTTTGCCATTCTTAGCACTTACATATGCTGACATATACATTCACGTAGCCCTGTACCGGAGAAATAATGCAGTAAAAAAGTAGGTAGATCTTGGGACATTAAGGTTACTCCAAAATGGTTTTACGAATCATTTCTGCCCAAGAACTATTTAAACTATATATGACCTGTTTACTCCTTGTTCAAATGCAACTGTGAAACTAGTAATTCCAGTAGAAAGTCCTATTCTTTAACATCAGATATATTCTCAGCAAATTCTAACAACTGTGTCCCAGATCCTAGTCTGTTTTTCAGAGAATGAAAGTGCTTTCAAAATGAGCTAGTTAACCCTTTCAATTACTAGGTGAGGAAAATGAGGGCCCGAAGGAACCAAGGACTTACAAAGTTGTATGCAGTTTGTTCGTGACGAGGTGAGAAGCCAGTGCCTGAGCCCGAAAGAGCTCTTTCCCTTTCCTGACACCATGAAAGCTCTCCTGGACTTGAGGCAGACCAGGAGGCTGGGACAGGCCAGAGGAGACATCCGATACTGACCAAATGCTTAGCTAATTAATAGTAATTGATTAAATGGCTAAGACATGTAGGATTTAGTTCCCAGAAAACAAATATTCAGAATCAATTAACGAAAATGGATGTAATCAAATCTTGTGCAAAAGAATGCTATTTTAATATGCTGCCTTATTATCTGAAGTGCTTTTACTGTACTACGAAAGTTTATGTCTGTATACTAAAGTCAGTATTAATTTTAGATTAAGATTAGATTGATTGTTGAGATTAATATTTTTCAATTCATGGATGGCAACCTATTATTAGGTCATAAAATCAATTTACTAAGTCTAGAAAAAGCATTTAAAAATGAATAGGCTAGAGAACAGAGTATAACATACACAGCGGAGGCAACTATGGTATGGGGAAACTTTTTCAGTTTTACACACATATACACACATGTACACACACAGGTATATATACATGTATATGATATGTATTAGGTCACAATATAAAACATATTTCATCCTGTAGGTTACAGTAAAAAAAACTTAAAAGCCACTTCAATTTATGTTATCAGGGCAGAAAGTTTTATGTCAAACAATATATTTTATATATTTTTAATGTCATGCTGAATAAAATTAAAAAATTATAAAATTATTGCAGTTTTCCACGTGGATAACCACATGAAGAACTGCAATAATTTAACATCTTTTTCTTTTAGTCAGTGCAACATTAAAAACACAATGTTTATGGATATAAACACCTGTAATAAAAATGTTTTTAATATACAGCACTGACACAAACTGAATTTAGAATTGTGCTCACCTACAGAGAGAGACAAAGGGCAGGAGTGTCTTTGCTATATCAGATGAAGTTCTACTGCTTTACGAACAAAACAGAGAAGACTAAAGCAAATAAGGCAAATATTAACATCTATTAAATTTGACCAAGAGGTTTGTGGGTTTCTGTATTTCTTTTGCTTTTTGAAATTTTTTACATATTACATTTTAAATTCTATAATTAAATACAAACTTTTTAAAAATCTACATCTTTAATTCCATCAAGAGCATATATGGCTAAATCATAAACCTGGAGACACACTAACATAACAGGTACAAGGAGTTTATGAATTACCAGTTACCATAACAATGACTCTTCTCAATGATTTCTTAATATTTAAACAACAAGAACAAATTATATTCAATTATGGTGATTTGATCCTAAATCTTCTTAGAGCATATATGGGTTAGGGCTTGAGTTAGAAGAGAATCTAGAAGATCTTCAATGACTACAAGGAAGTGCACACACTCATACACAGAGTTGTACTGTCAATACACTGACTTAGCACTTCAGAGTTTACTAAGAACTTCCAAATATATAATCTCATTTATACCAAGTATTATGTGTTTAATCCAGTTTCTTCTGCATCCACTCGTTCCCTTCAAGATGTGCCTCTGTATTCTTCACAGCATGACTCTACTACAGGCTGGAAAATAATCACACATCCAGCCAGCTTTGTAAATCAGTAATCAGACTGGCAATTATAGAAAAATTTCATAGCCAGGCCAAGTTCAGAGCCTAGGTCTTTGCTCCTTCCCTAATCTACTTCAAAGTAAACAGTATAAACCTTACTGAGGGTAAACAGAATAAATTCACCATACCTGACCTTTCTCTGCAGGCAAATTTAAGAGGTACCCCTGGAGCGGCACCTGGGTGGCTCAGTTGGTTAAGCATCTGCCTTCGGCTCAGGTCATGGTCCCAGGGTCCTGGGATCGAGTCCCACATCGGGCTCCCTGCTCAGTGGGAAGCCTGCTTCTCCCTCTCACCCTCCCTCTGCTTGTGTTCCCTCTCTCGCTGTCTCTCTGTCAAATAAATAAATAAAATCTCTAAAAAAAAAAAAAAAAAAGATGTACCCCTGGACCCTGAACTCTTATCCTCCCACTTCTCAAACTTTCTCCCTCCTATGTTCACTTTCACTCACCCAAATTCCAGGCTGATCTTGCCATTAAGGCAACGCCATCACTCCGCTTCATTCCTATTCAGACTTCCCTCTAACCCCAAATATTTTCCCCACAATTAGGGCCTAACTCTCTTTTGAAAACTGATAACCATGCAATTCTGCCTCCTTGCTTTTGAAGAGGATCAACAGAAAGAAATATATTTATCCTTCAATTCAAATACACAGCTGCCTCCACAACCAGTTGCAAACTCTTCAGGGGAGGGACCATGTGGGACTACTCTCTGCGCCTTCCACACAATTAGCATTGGATGTAGCATGCAGTAACACTTCATGAGATATTGATAGAAAAAAAAAATGAAGAAACACTGGTCAAAAAGTTAAAAAACAGTAAAAATGCCACAGACAAAAGAAGAAAACAATTTTATGAATAGAATTAAGCTTGTTGTTATGACAGCATCACAGAGACTTGTAAAATTTTCAAATATCATTTAAATAAAAACTAGAAACCTTCCCACCCATTCCCATTAAATGAAATAGAGTTTTAGTGATTTTTTTTAAATCCAGATATATACATGTAAGTATACAATGAATTAGTTTACATTAACCCAAGCAAATCTCAGAAATAAGTGGGATTTTTATACACACACACACACACACACACACACACACTCCCCCCATCCATTTTCCTTGAAGAGATTTTCATTCATTTATGAATCTCCCTAAATAAATGACATAGCATGTATCTAGTAAACACATTCATTCGACAAACACTTGCTGAGCTCTCTTTTAGGATAAATAAATCATCTCCAAGCCATCAAGAAGGTAGAGATGACAGAAAATACATGAACATAATATAATTTAATGTTATAAACACCTACAGAATATTCTTTGAAGGCATAAATAATGGAGGAGTTATGCTTGTTATGAAATGGAGGTAAGTATAAAGAATGGGAGCGACTCAGACGGAGGTATCAAGAAACCTTAAAGTAGCTAGCATACAAAACAAATTTCAAAGGAAGGTTAAAATTCTTATAAGGGCAAAAGGGGTAGGCATTCTCAGTGGAGAGACCAATTAACTCTTCTTTTTTTTAAAGATTTTATTTATTTATTTGACAGAGAGAGACACAGAGAGAGAGGGAACACAAGCAGGGGGAGTGGGAGAGGGAGAAGCAGGCTTCCCATGGAGCAGGGAGCCCGATGCAGGGCTGGATCCCAGGACACTGGGATCATGACCTGAGCCAAAGGCAGACGCTTAACGACTGAGCCACCCAGGCGCCCAAGACCAATTAACTCTCTTACTAACCAAAAAAAACAGTGAAGAAGTCATTCCCCTTCTGTCCTTTTACCCACATCCCAAAACTTTCTGAAAATACAATTCTAACGAGTCAATCTTTACAAGCTTCCACCCACATACAAATGCCTGGATTAATACTACATTCCCTAGAAACTATTTCTTTCAATGTGGTCTGTATTGCCTTTTA